AACCGTCACAGAAGATTCAGTGGAGTAGGAGGACTGGCCAGGGGAAACAGGGGGATGCAGGACAGACGGCAAGGACATCGGTTCACCTAGGCTAAGAACAGGCAACGGTGCAGCGGGAAACTCAGAAATTGGGTTAACCTGGGGATGAGCAGAAGTAGGTGGTGAACCAAGAGAGTTCCTGGGGGAGGCTTCAGGCTGTGTAGGGGTCCAGAAGGTGTCAGGGGCAGGAGCCCAATTGGAAACGGGATATGGGCAAGGGTTACAAGGCAGAGATGGAGGAGGTGTGTACAATGATAAATAGTGATATGGGAAAGGTTGGGGACCAAGGTTGAAAGGCGAAGAAGGAGAGAGCTCATATGGGAAGAGTACCGTCGTTATCCTGAGAGAGGGTTGAGGAAGAAAGGGGCCAAGAAGCTCAGAGAGGTGAGAAGGGTCAAGGGGAGAAGGAATGAGGGAGTGTACTGTGATGATGCCGAAAGGAAGAAGTGAAGGATCCACTTCCATTGGCAAAGAAGAAGCAAACAGAGAAGGGTCACAGTGGGAATAGAAGGGAAGGGGTAGGAAAGTCAGGGATAGAATAGAGGGGGACCTAGGGGGAAGAGGGCAAGTGGGTCTGGCTCTCTCGCCTTTGGTATAGGCATCCTCCGGAGGGCACAGAGAGGACCTGCAGGGAGGAGTGGACAAGATGGAAGCTTGCGGCTCCTGGCTCGAGGGGGATGGTGAGCTCTAAGAGGGGGTAGGTTCGCTAGAAGGCCTAGGTGGATTTTCATGGCGGGAAAAGATAGAGGGAAGGACGGCGTTACGTGGACCGTCAGGGGGCGGTTGCGGCGGGGGGCCATGTGGCAAAGGGAGAGGCGGGAGAGAATCTTGGGCAGAGTGCTTATCATCATACGAGAGGACAAGGGCTGCTTCCAAAGCAATGGAAGGCGATGAAAAGGTGGCAGTTGTCTCCTCATGAGAGCCTGGGACACATGGGGATGGAGGCATCTACCGCGTGGACTCAGAGACAGGCTTCAGGGCGACATGTGTACCTTCGTCCATTGGGGTCTTCACCACGTGAATCGGGTCAGCTACCGAGACCCGATCCGCAGCCCCAACCGAGGAAGACGGGTCCTTTAAAGAGCCCGACAGCCGAGGAGAAGGTTGGTGAACTAAGTCCTCTACTAGCTCCTTACCGGGTCGATGGGTCGAGGAGGCCGGGGGACCCGATGGTAAGTGACAATTGTGTCCAACCCCACCGCCTTCTGAGATAGGTTCTGAGAGGGTGGGCCCCAAGCATGCGATCGGCACCGACTCTCTAACTCCACTGTCCCCATCATCTCCTGATTGTGTTGGAAGGGTGCCACGTGGTATCTACTGGGAAGACTGGTGACTGGCAGGAAGACTTGGCCGATTGTCTCTCTGACGGTGGCACCGCTTGGCTTTGCCTGATTTCCTGGAGACAACGCACCAAGAAAGGGGTGAAGAGATCCCCGGCAACGAGAGCGGATGGCTTTCTACCAGGTTAAACGACAGGGGATAGGTCTAAGACCAGGCCAGAGAAATCAGATAGAACAGGTTATCCACTTCTATCCACACACAAAGTGGAATACTTTTAGGGTCCAGAACCTCCACCAGGAGCAGAATGGAGCTTAACAGTAGCGATCATGCATTAAAACTGATAAACCCTCGAGGAATGGGTCATCGTATATCCATAAGAATTGTTTATCCTCAGCCCTAACATCTTCTAGCTGAGAATGTTCAATGACTGATTTAACCTCACTCATGGATTCTCCTTTGAGTGCTTCCTTTTTTTTCTTCATCAAATAATTCAATAGGCTCGACCACCTCTGGAATAACAAAATCTAAATCCTCCTCATGAGCCACTACAGTAAACATTAACCCAATCTCCTAAACCTCCTCCATAGAGTTAACCATTGAGAGTAAATTTACACCCTCCCCTGGTTTAGGCTTAGGTGTAATTTCTTTTTTCATGGGAGCTAACACAGTTTTATTACTATCTTTCCAAATAGTATATGTGTTCTTCCTCCCATCATGTATAGCTCTATGGTCATATTGCCATGGTCTACCCCATAATAGACGACAAACATCCATGGCAACCACATCACACCATACATCATCACAATATTTCTTTCCAATAGAAAAAGAAACATAGCATGTACTTTCTACTCGTACCTCATTATCCTTCTTCAACCAAGTGAGCTTGCATGGCTGGGGATGTTTCTCTATGCCTAGCTTGAGCTTTGTGAATGCATCTTATGAGATTACATTCTCACAACTCCCACTATCAATAATAAGCTTGCACACCTTGCCTCCAATGGTGCAGGTAGTGTGAAAAATAATAGTCCTTAACCGATCCTCCTGGGTTTCTTGCTTGGGCGTTAGTAGGCTTTTTCAAATAACTAAGGACTCTCCAACGTCTCCATAGACAAGATCATCCTCATCTGGCTCTTCATCATAAACTGGATCACCATCATACCCATCAGCATCGTCTAGGTTCTCATCTACAATCATGAGTTGCTTGCTTTTATTAGGATGGCTATTTGGCTTCCTACAGTCTCCAGCCTTGTGACCCGCCTCCCCACACTTGAAACGGTGGAGAGTTGAGCTGCTGCCTTGAACTTTAGCACCTGGACCAGCAGTATTTCGGTGACTAATAGTTGCTGCAACGACATCTCTGCAGCCCCAGATGGTGCCTCTTCAGGCGATCTTGAAATCGGCATGTTCGGAGACCCGAATCTCCTCTCGTGGCTGCACTAGCCCTGCTCCTGGATTGTTGCTTCTCTACTGTTAAAGCTCGTTGATAGGCTTCCGATAAAGTCCATAGAAAGTATAAACTTAGGGCGTCCTGAATTGATTGGCGCAATCCCGCAATATGTTGGGCAACCTGTTGCTCTTCAGTCTCAGATAAATTGTTCTGTGCAACTAATTGATAGAACTCCTCAATATAATCATCAACGGACTGCCCCCCTTGACGAAGGGTATGAAATCACTGAAACATCGTCTAGGTATAGTTAAAAGGCAAGAACTACTCCCTAATCTTTTTCTTCATCTTTTCCCAATCAGAGACTTTCGATTTTCCTTGTCTTTCCCGAGTCTTTTTCAATTGCGCCCACCATGCTAATGCACAACCCTAAGCTTAATAACCACGAGCTTCACCTTCCTATCATTGGGCACATCATTGCATTCGAAGATGCGCTCGATAGAAACAATCCAATCAATAAACCCTTCCGCTTGCAATCCTCCTGCAAACTCTGGTAGATCAACTTTAACACCAACATCCCAAGATCTGTTATCCCGAACATGGGGCTCCCGAAGCGGAGCGTGCATATGGAACGGGTTCTTAAAAACAGCTTCCGACTCACTACCATCATCATAGTGTGTTGGTGCTAGATTTTGCGCCAAGCGTTGGGTCAGTTCTTCTACTTGCCTTTGCAAATTTTCAAACTCTATCTCACAGAGGTCCCGTTCTCGCTGGATCAGCTCATTCCCTACACCTTGTTGTCGAGGACGTCCACGAACCATGATGCCTTGTCAAGAGCACGCGATCGCACAAGAATCTAGGCTCTGATAGCACCTGACGCGGTATAAAAGTTACCGACGAATACCACCCGGCAAAAATAACCGTGTTTAGAGAGAGAAGTAAAAATCCAGAAAGGAATCACAAGAAGAAAGAACAAAACGCGTGGATACGAGTATTCCAACACAAGCCCATAAACACAAGAGAAGAAATAATACCCACAAAGGGCCTCTCTCTCTACAGGAAACTCTTTCTTTATTTTATAAAATTCAATCTCCTCCATTCCATGGTGCGTGCCTCCTTTTATACATGTAAATCACCTCCTCCCGTGATTCTCAAAAGATAAACCCTTAATAATCTCCATGCTAAAAACTGAAAAGGATAACTAACCAAAATAAATCTATCTCTAGATTCTTTTTACAACTCCCTACTTCATCCTTTCCACCTACATCACTCATTGTTTTCCCTAATTTCAACCCAACACAAAAAGATAGCACTCCCTTTAAAATAGGAAACAAAATATATATCCTAAAAACTAAAGATAAACACAACTACCCTTATTTCCTTGGATAACCACGTCACCCCCAATGATACATCTTTTCCTAATAAAACGAACCTACCAATTAACACCCTACCAATTAAAATGTGAAGGCTTATCTCAAACCAACCTCTTAAAACTAACCATATCCAAAAGCTACACGTCTTTATTTTACCTATCAAAAAGGAAGCAAGTCCTTTCTCATTCAAACTTCCCTATCTAAACCCAAAAATGATAAAAACAAAACCTTCCTAACTAAAAGATAATCCTAAGATAAAGAAACGGACCTTTTAAGAAAATGGAATTTATCAACTAAACCAAAAAATTCTATTTTTAATCATTTAACCCTAATAAATAAAAGGGAAAAAAAAAACCCTACCCAACCTCATGCCTAGATTATCAAGAGAGGAAGTTAGATGGCAAGGAAACACCTGCACCAGGTTAGTTGACTTAGTGATTTCAAACATGGTCTAAGGTAAAATATGTAACCCTAGCATAAAATGGGAGTCCCTGGAACAAGCAAATAAGTTAAGCGTCCAACAGCGAGTTCTATGCAGAAATGATGTATTTTCAGCAGCATAAGTAACTGACAAACAGTGAATAAAATCTCAAACACTTTACTGAAGCCACAAAAGCTTGAGAAACAACTGCTCAGACTGACCAGTACAAAGGTATCTTTGGATGTCTGAGGCAAAAGTGAGGTTGCATTGAAAGGATTTATCAGATGACACCATCAATTACAACATTGGATCCATTTCCACATAGCAATTCAATGCATTAGCTACACTCAAAATAGAGAAACAATGGTAGAAGCTTCTCCTATTAGCAAACATGCAACCCCTGTTTCAAGAAAATGCATGAACCATCCCCTGTCTGCTAAATATCCATCAAAGAATTACAAACTCTAAAAAGATAAATTGCCATTTAAGCATTGAAACTCACCCGTGCGGCTCCCTTTTTGTGAGCCTGAAAGGTTGGCCCATCTTTATTTTCCCCATACCAAAAAAAGGTCGCTGATTTCTTGTCATATAATATTCCCCCTCCATGGGCCTGAATGGGATTCCCATCTGTGTCCAACCAAATTCTTCCCGGATAGAAATACATACTATCGTTTTCAGCCATCTTCATAGGGTCCATAGCATTTCTCCAATCAGGGAAGAACAACTGCCTGATTTGAGAAGACTCATCAAGAAACTCATCAATCAATGATGGTTTCTTTGTTTTCCGTTTACTTGATCTTGGGTTCCTCCTACTTCTTGAATGGAACACAATATTCTCCTCTTCGACCTCTTCGAGCTCCCTATTTACTGGAAGGTGATTAAGTCGAACTTGGGGCTCTCTCTCATATGATTTGGGCTTCAAAAGAGAGAATAAATGGATCATGAGAATGCAGCCAACCAAGCTCCACACAAAGAAAGATAGCGAGCACCGGCTCCCTGCATCGCAACGTAAAGCAGTTGGTTTCCTGTGTTTGTTCCTCATCTTCATTATCCCCCCCTCTTATCTCCAAGATAACACTGCAGTAAAAGAAAATGCAACCTATGTAGTTCCTGCCCGATTAAATTTTTTTATTTAAGAACCACCTAAGTTTTATTATATCAGGAAAAAGGAATAAAAAAACAATCATGTCCAGTGTGAAAATTCTTAGGACCAATATGTTGTTCGAGATACATCATCAAAAAATAAACAAATGCGACAGACCAAACAAGAGATGCCAAAGCCATCAAAAGAAAACTCAATATTGATATCAGACTTAAGAGTGAGCATTAGTCACCAGGACCATATAAAGCAAAGAAAGTTTGTAACAGAGAATATTTTCTATACTTGAAAAACGGATATTCTACTGTAAATCAATATTGAAAAGAAAAAAGTAGAAACTTTGGTAGAAATTGGAAACAGGCATGACAAAACCCATTCTTTTGAATTACTAATCCCAATCAACTTGTTATCAAGAGACAGACAAAATAAGATCGCATCTCTCATGCTAGAAGAATAAATAAAAAATGAAAGGAAAAACACCCCAATCCGCAATCCCATGTAAGATCATCTGCAATCAAGTGTAATGAAAGAGAAAAATAGCTATTGTAGCTACCAAAAGAGCGGAATAAGAAACATCATTCCAGCTCAGAACAAGCTACAATCTTGAATTAATAGATATAAATAACCGGAAATAATTAACCCAATACTTTAAAACCAACACATGCAAGCCAAAAACCACACTTCTATATGCAAAAAACAAACTTAAAAATGCAATGAAATCCTATCCCAAAACCCAAAACCCATAAACATAAGCTGACAAAAAACCAACAAAAACTAAGTGGACACAAAATCAAAGCATGCAGCTTCAATCAGAAACACGCCCCAATGGCCATAGTTACTGAAAACCAAAAACCGATAGTTTCAGGTATGGAGCTTACCAGATAAAAATCTGAGAATAGGGGAAGAATTTGATGATGATGATCTTTCCAACATTTGAACAACCAGATAGAGAGAAACCGAACAAAAAAAAATGGGAGAAAACAAGAAGAAAATTGATAATGGTTTGGTGTATTGATATCAACTGAAACAAGATCCCAAGTCTTATAAGCTGCGTAATTTGATATGTGTTTTTTCAGCGGAGAGAATACATTTTCCAATAAATGAAAAAGACGCAATAAAATGATGGCATACTCTTCAACAATAAGACTTATAAACCAAGCATCTCAGATCTCAAATTTATCAACCTCAATTTGTTGTTAAATTATTATTAGGCTGTTTTTTATTATTTGTTTTGAGATTCCTGACTATGATAATTAATTATAAACTCTATATCATTTGCACCTTTTTTTTCGGGTCCAATCTGAGTTGTTTATGGCCTTCTGAAATGAAGAATTGACGAAAACAGACCCAAGGTTTTCTATGAATATGAAAAATGGCCATCAATTTGCTCAAACTATGGAAAATACTCCTCCAACATGGAAGTGACTGTTGTAGCATCATAGGTTGGAAAATGGAAATTCATAGGCAGCGATTTAAAAAAAAAGAGAAAATTATAGATACTCCAATTTGTACTTTAGAGGCATTTATTCTCTCAAAACTTTTGATACCACACATTTGAGAAAACAATTTATATAGAGTCGAGCTTCTAAACCATCAAATTAGAGCTCACTTCAAAAATTTCACTAGAAGAGGTTGTTTTGATACTCAAATATCCTCAAATTGATCATCTCGACATCAAGATGCATGGACATAAGAAAAAAATGGATTTTAAGTTTTGAAAATAGTGCATTTTGTAATGTATTTTTGAAAAGTCAATTTTTAAGATTTTCAAATTTTCATAAATCTGCTCGATCCACACTATTTTTGAAACTTTAAAGTTTATAATTAGAGGTGAAAATATATTTTAATGCTATCACAAAGATTTTCAATATTAAAACCATATGTCTCAGTACTATTTGAAGGTGTACTCTACTTTGATTGTTTAAAGCCGCGGCTCTATACAAACAGCACCCACTATTAATGCCAACATTATTTTTCTTTGCAACATATGGTATAACATGTGCAACACTGTTTTTCTTTGGAACAAAAATTTGTCTAAACTGACATAACTTGAATATAGAGCCGATCTGGCACAATATAGGCCAGACTGGCTTTGTACAAGTTGTGCCACACCGGCACAAGTTGAATATCAAGATGTTTCAAGACAAAAAAAGTGTCGAACTGGCTCTATACAAGTTGTGTCAATCCAACACATTTTGTGCCAAATAGTCTTAAAGAGAGAGGGAAACGTGCCTAAACAAATGTTATTTTGGTCTAAAAAAAAGCAACTTTTGTACTTGGCGGAGGTCGAAAGAAAAAAAATACTATTGGGGTTTATAGTATAGTATTAAGAGCCCATATCTAAAAAATATAAATTGGAAGATATCTATAATTTTTGCTTTAGAAGATTTGAAATGACAATTAAGATTACATTTTGTTTATGAAAGTCCAAATGTTGTTTTTGGACTTTGTTTATGTAAGGAAAATGCTTTCGCTAATAAGATTTTGAAATGGCCATTGAGAAAGTCATTTTCGCAAGAAAGCTTGGTGACATTAATAATTAAGTGTTACTAATATGATCAATAAATAAGAGTAATTTTATACAGATGTCTATTGATGAACAATGATTTGCCATTATTTCATAAAGCACAAGAGGATTTAGTTCTCACAATCTTGAAATTACATTTGAAATTATATGATAATCAAAATGATTTAAAGCTTAAACTCCTCTAATTATTAAACACTCTCTCTCTCCCCCTCTCTCTCTCACTCAGATGGAGAATGAAGGGCATGAGAGTG